TTTTTTTCTCATGTTTCTTAGAGATCTTTTAGTGCAGGTAGCTTTCCTCTGGTCTTTTAATCTGTGAGCTGTTTTATAGTGTGGATGTATGATAGTTTATGAATCAGTCTCCTGTTGATGGACGTGTGAGTGTAAGCTAATTTTGTCTGATGTATTCAGTTACCATACGTCCGTATTGCTAGGCACATGTTTCTCTAGGATTGGACATGGTGTGTCAAAAGTTGTGCCGATTTAAACTGCTACTTTTAACCTATCAATGATGAAGGAAGCTGCCCATTTCTCAGGGGTTTTTCTGCTGGTTGAAAGAAACAGATTGTGGTTCGTAGGCATTTCACTGAATGCTGGTGAGGTTGTGGGACTCATTGGTTTGCTGCTGGGGCTCAACGGTTAGATTTCAGGCAATCAGAGTAACAGGTGTGTAGTAACTGTGGGTGATAGGGAAGCTGAGCCTGTGGGGACTGTGGTGTTGGCGCCCCTGTACTGTGGTGACAATGTGGGCGTCGAGCCATTCAGGTTCGTGGTACGCGTTCTCCGTGCTTCTCCCTTAGGCGGTGTGGGCTACTAGGGGGCTTCCGTTCCATGTGAGGTACCTCTGAACCAGGGGCCCGAGGAAGCCCGTGTGTGCGGGGATCTTCAGGCCGGTGTGTCCTGCACTGTGCAGGCAGTGCTGAAACTGAGGACATTGAAGGCTCCTGGAGCCAGCCCAGACACAGCCTGTGGCTTCTGCACAGGCCCCCGGGAGGGCAGGAGGTAAGGGTGCCCTCACAGCTGGGTGGTGGTCGTGCTCCTCCCCCCACGTGCTGTGGGAATGTTGGGATATGTGCCCCTCTGCAGGATGCATTGGAAGGAAGTAGTGGCGTCTCAGAGCTGCTGGAGGGCTGTGGAGGAGGCATGTGGATCTGTCATTAGTCAGGGTTGCTGGACAACTGAGAGCTGCAGCTGTGTCTTTCCTATCATGTAAAGGGTGCCAGTGAGGAGTGAGTGGATAGGAGGCAGCCTGCCTGGGGGTCGGACAGAGACTCCAGGTCGGGGCCGTGCCAGGACCCAGCTCCCACTCTGCTCTTGACTGTTACAGCACCTGACTTCATCTCCCTGGGCCTGTTTCCTCACCTGGTTGTTATGATATTTAAAAGAAGAATGTTGATAATGCTCCTAGTGTATTACCTAACAACTACTTAGTACTTCTGAAGAAACTGCTGGTTGTGTTCCCTTTGAAATGAATGATCCTGGTTTACTTTGGTTAACGAATGGTTCGTCCTGTTGCAGTGTGGAGGCCAGGGGCTGAGGGGCTGCGTGGAGGTGGTGTTGTGGCAGTGAGGAGGGCTGGGGGTGGGGGTCGGGGGCTTGCAGGGAGCTTCCAGGCCGCTCTCCTGCCGCTCTCCTGTTCAGCAGGCCCCTGCTGCCAATGCCTGTTAGGCTGTAGTGAGCATGGCTGAGAGCTGGGGACTAGAGGTGGCACCCTTCCATTTGTCTGGAGGTGCCTGTGTCGGGCTCAGCACCCAGCCTGCTGCTAGCGGCACAGCTGGCAGCCAGAGAGGAAATCCGCCCAGACAGGCCTCCGGGAGATTCTTGTCCCGCTTCCCCACACTGTCGTGCCTTGCCTGCCTCTACATGCCGGGAAGAGAACCATGAGTGTTGTAGGGCCCTGGGACCCCATGATGCCAGATCACTGGCAAGCATGGAGGTAAATGATTGCCCAAGGAGTTCAGGCAGGGGTTCAGCCTGGGGCCTGGCTCCACAACTACATTCATATCCTCCTCATAAAGTTGTCCGCCGCGGGGGTGATGTCTGTGCTGGTTTCACTCTGTTGGTTGCCAGTAATGCCCACGGTGAGGAGATATGGCCGTGTGTGTGTGTGTGTGTGTGTGTGTGTGTGTGTGTGTGTGTGTGTGTGCGCTCATGCATTTGACCACAAGCTCATCTGGAGCTCTTAATTTATTTGCTCATGATTTTTCCAACCAGATGTCTGCTGCCTGCAGGTTGAATGTGGGAAGGGCTGCGCCTGAGAGCACAGAGCAGCCCAGGGTGCTGGGTTGCACAGTGGGAAAGGAATAGTTGGTATTGTGTGGCTCTGGGAGAGGCAGGACCAGGGAGCACGGGACCCAGGCAGGACCAAAGCAGAGAATAGGCAGAGGGCCAGACACAGAGGCCTGTGGTTTGATCTGAACATGGGTGTGAGAATGAACTGTAACCGTGGGATAAAAGAAGTTTCAAGGGAGTGTGTGGCAGGTGCCAGTGATACTGCCTTCCGTGTACGTCAGCAGCAGGTCCCGGAAGGCGCCTGCGCAGTGGCCCAAATGGGCTGACCCCCTACGGAGCAGGCCGAGCTGGCTCCTCCCTCAGACAGGGACTTTGTTCGAGGTCATAGCCCGCTTTCATCAGAGGGCTGAGGTTGGAACCTGCCCTTCTGTCCTGCCACCACCCCACATATGTGCTGTGTAATTACTGCATGTGGCAACTCTCCTGGGGCCAGCGTACACTCAGATTTGGGGAGGTGCTCAGAATTACTTATAAAGTGAATGAGCAAGGTTCTAATTCCGTTCTGACCTTGGCTCCTGTGGCCTGAGTGAAGTTAGATTACTTCCTCTGTCTTACCCTTGGTAGGATGAAGGTGGCTTCCGTGCCTGCCTTCTGAGCTTCGCCTCATTCACTCGGAACTCACTGGGCAAATATTTGTTGTCTCCCGGGTGCCACACATGGCTCTTGGGTTGGGGCGGGAGGAGTTAGTGACGTGATACTGAACAAAAGAAGCCCAGATCTTGTTCTCTTGGGGCTTACAGGGTGGGGTGTATGTCACTGTTTCCCAGGACTGCCCGAAGGCTGACACAGCACAGATTCTGTGCATCTCCCCCAGCTCCTGGTGGCAGCTGACACCCCTGTCACTGGCTCGAGGCAGCACAGCTCCCGTGCCTGCCTCCAGGTGACCTTCCCTTTGTCTGCATCCGCTCTGTTTTCTTAAAAAGATTGCCAGTCGTTTCAGGGCCCACTTTATCCCAGTCTAATCTCATTTGTTTTAATCCTAAAACATCACATAAAAGTTCAACATGCATATTGTTGTGCAACAGTTCTGCAGAGGAACAGTCATTAGGGATGTGGATGTGTAGTGTGTGTGAGAAGTGTGTTAGAGGCCCTGCCCCCTGTTATTGGAGGCCGACATGTGCTAACGTTTGCAGACTGCCGGCCACCAAGCTGCAGAGCCAAGTGCGTAGGTTCCGGTCTGCAGGTTGGTGGAACATCCTGAGATGCTGGTAGAACAGGAGGTTCGGTCCGATCCAGAGGCGCGCAGGCAGGCAGCCAGAGATTCTCTTACTCTGCCTGTTTCTCTTCGGGGTTCATTTGATTGGAAGAAACCCACCATACTGGGGAGGGGGTCTGCTTTCCTTAGACTACCGGTTCTGGTGCTGATCTCACCCACAGAGCCCCTTGCGGACTAAGACTTGGGTCCAGTTATCTGGAACCCTGGGGACCTGGTCAAGTGGGCACAGGAAGTTAATCATCACCTGTTTCCAAGGTCACACGGTGTTTCTAGGTGGACGTGAGTTTTTCAGTCTGTGTGAGATGGTAGTGGCTATTTTAACGCAGGGAGTATGGGCCAGAAGGAGAGGGGAGGGGTGGGGTGGAAAGGGGTCTGTCTGGCTGGTGGAGTGTGGAGGGCGGGTGGGCGGTGGTAGTTATCACAGGGGAGGAACTGAGGAACTGACCTGTGGGGGAAGCATATTCCAGGCCAAGAACAGGAAGGCAGAGGCCCTGAAGTAGGCCTGTGTACCAGTGGATGGTATGGGGCAGTGGAGTTCACATTCAGTGTGCTGTGTATCTGGAGGTCTCGAGACTGAGGTCTGAGAGATTCAAGAGGTGAGAAAGACTTTGCTGGTCTCTTTAAGGACTTTTGACCATTAGCACTGGTGTGATAGCAACCACTTTGTGGCTGAGAGCAGGGGAATGTGGACCAGTGCCCTGTGTGTGCTTGTGCTTGTTGATATTTCACAGCATCTGTTTCTTTTCTCCCAGCTCCCTTGACCCACCACCCTTACCCTGTCCTTTCTCCTCTAGATGCTTTTTCACCTGCCCACACACTTCCTTCCTCACACGTAAAGCACCTCGAAGAGGAGGGAGTAGACCCAGACCCAGGCTACTGCAAGACCAGGAGATACTTGTGGCCATCAAGCTGTCTGTGAGCTGCAGGACCACCTACCGCATGGATGGTGGGCTCTTTCCCCTCCAGCCCCCATGGCCTGCTTCAGGCGGCCACTGCTTGGGGCAGGTTTGGAAAATGCTGGGATCAGTGTGCAAGCTCAGTGTATTCGGCTCCCAGGATCCTCCTGCATATAAAGTCACTATGCCGTGAAAAGAGTCAAGTCAGCTACCCTGGTCAGTGGGCTACATTTGGCCTTGAAAACAGGGCAGCGAGAGAAGTCCAACAGGACCCACGGAGAGAGCAGGTGAACTGCTAGGCAGACTGGGCACACAGGTCCTGTGCCTCCTTCATCACCCACGTCTTACATGGCTTAGTGTTTTCACATTTTTCTATTATAAAAATGCTTGAGCCTGAATCTGAGTATTAACAAGGAGGAACTGCAGGCAGGGGCTTGTCCCCTGTTTTGCCCAGCTTAGTGGACAGAGGCAGAGCCTGGTGAGACTGTGTGGCTGCTGGGGGGACCATGACCTTGGAATGGGGCTCTATGCTCAACGGGAAGCCGTCTGATCTGACTGGCGTCTGATTTCCTCTTGGGCCCTCTCAGAGGAAAGGGCTGGTTTCAGGCCTCCTTCCTTGCCTCCACCTCCTAAGGCAGTGCCTGCAGAACTCATGCAGAGAGGTTGTCTGGGAACTTCTGCTGCTGTGCTGCCCCGGGAAGCATCTTTAGAAGGTAATTAGGTGTCAGTGGAGATGAAAATAGAATTTCCTGGTGCCAAGAGCACCCGCTGCTCTGTAGTGGCACAGCAGCTGCCTTGGGGATGCATCTTGCCCACTCCAAATGAGATGCACAGTACATGAGGAAAGTAGAGGAGACTGTCCCTATCTGGAAAGTGAGTGTGAGTCCCTCTGCAGGGTTACACGAAGCTGCTTGCCCCCCAGCACATCGGAAGGGCTTGGAGGAGCAGCCTTCGCAGCCAGCACTCTGCAGGAAGCTTGCACGCAGGTAGCGGCCTGAGATTTGTGGAGCAGGGTTGTTGTGGGGACAGACAAAGGCCAAGTGTTCCTGTATAACAAACAGCCTCCTTGTCCTGTGCCCAGGGATGGCTTCAGACTCTGGTGTTGATGTGCCCCAGCCACTGGGTTAAATAAACACTTGTTGATGGACAGGACCATACTGCATGTGGATCCCGACAACTTTGCTGGGCTCTGGGCTAGCACAATGCTGCGATTTATTCAGAGTCCTGCGGGGTCAGTCTTCTGGTCTCGGGATGAGGACTGAACCGTGAAGTTCTGGTGTCTTTGCTGCTGCCTGGGGAATCGCTTGCCTTCCTGGGCCTCGGTTTTCTCATCTTAACTTGAGAAGTTGGATGGAGTGATGGCAGTGAATGTCTCTCACTGGTTTGTGCATTTTCCTCCCCATCAGCTCCTCCACTGGGCAGTCCTCTGCTCGGGACACTCGTGTGATTGACCTGCACCTGTCTCCCTGGTGATGGCCGGAGCTCCTGGAATGCAGGGATGTCCCTCCCTGGCACGCTTGGAGCTCCTTCCATTCCTCCTGTCTGGCCAGACCCCAGAGTGGTGGAACGGAGCAGGTGTGGAGGATTTGGCCGGCCCCTGTCTGGCCCTGGGACAGGTGTCTCCAGCTGTTCCTTTTAATCCCCTTGTTCCTTTCTCAAGTTGCACACCACTTTTTGTCCTTGCCTTGGACAAAGGTCCTTTATTTCTGAATATCGTCGTTAAGAGTTGGTTTTTGGAATTACAAGTTAAAACAAAAAAGCTGGCTCATGACTATGAAATTTTATTTACATTGTATCCCAAATTTGTTAAAGAAATTTTGACTTACTGATGCCCATTTCTGAATTTTGGTATTACAAGAGATTTTATCTTTTTTGGGGGTGACATTAGTTCCTATTAGTAATAGTTACTAGAATATATGTGCCAGGCAGTGAAAGAGCTCATCGTTAGATATATCATTTTTTAAAAACTATTCTTATTTAATCCTCACTGTGAGCCTGTGAGTGATATTTTTTTGTTGTTAAAAAGCAAATGTTAACCTAATTTTTGTTATGTTAAAATACCCATAACATACAATTTGACTTTTCTTTTTTTTTTTTTTAAGATTTATTTTTATTATTTTTTTATTGGAAAGGCGGATATACAGAGAGGAGAGACAGAGAGGAAGATCTTCCGTCCGATGATTCACTCCCCGAGTGAGAGCAACGGCCGATGCTATGCCGATCTGAAGCCAGGAGCCTCTTCCGGGTCTCCCACACGGGTGCAGGGTCCCAAAGCTTTGGGCCATCCTCGACTGCTTTCCCAGGCCACAAGCAGGGAGCTGGAAGGGAAGCGGGGCTGCCGGGATTAGAACCGGCGCCCATGTGGGATCCCGGGCGTGCAAGGCGAGGACCTTTAACCACTGCGCCACCGCGCCGGGCCCGACTTTTCTTTTAAAATTATTTATTTTTATTGGAAAGTCAGATGTGCAGAGAGAAGGAGAGACAAAGAGGAAGATCTTCCATCTGATGATTCACTCCCCAAGTGACTGCGATGGCCGGTGCTGCGCTAATCCAAAGCCAGGAGCCAGGAACTTCTTTCTGGGTCTCCCACATGGGTGCAGGGTCCCAAAGCTTTGGACAGTCTTCGACTGCTTTCCCCAGGTCAAAGGCAGGGAAATGGATGGGAAGTGGGGCCTCCGGCATTAGGACCAGTGACCATATGGGATCCTGGAGTGTACAAGGCAAGGACTTTTACCTGTTAGGCCACCGTGCTGGGCTTACAATTTAACTTTTTAAAGTATATGGTTCTGTGACATTAAGTCCCTTTACTGTGATTTCCTTTCTTTCTTTTTTTAGTTTCTTTTTCTATAAATGAGACTTAGAGAAAATAAAAAGTTTCTTAGCTGTGATCACAGAGCTGGTAAGTGCCAGAACCAGGATTTGCAGGTAGGGCTGACATGCTCAGGCCTCCAGCAGCTGTGATCTCTGGCTGTGGCTGTTGGAATCCATGGGTGTTTATCTTGAGGCTGGCTCAGGGACATGTGGCTGGCATGGAGGCTGCCCAACCTTGGACATGGAGGTTGATGGCTATGTGCTCCTGTTCTTTGCTGAGGTTGAAGGGTGTGGGACTACCATGCTGGGAAGGGTTCTGACTCTAGGTGCTGCCCCTGAAGCTCAGATCCATTACTTAGTGGGTCTGGGTGCGCTCTGCTGGGTGACTTTGGTGACCAGAAGCACTGAGCTTGGAGCTGGGTCTGTGATTTTGTCCTTTTTTAACCACTGGCCTCAATTCCTGCTAAGAGGATAAATACCTGTCCCATGTGCCTCCCAGGATGGTGGTAACAATTAAATGTTGTGAGGGTAGGTGGAAGTGCTCTGGCTAGTTCCTGTGATGGGACTTCGGAGTGGGCGCACAGCACCTGGGGCTGACCCCAGAGACCTGAGAAAGATAGGTTTGGGTGTGAAGGTGGGCAAGTTCGCCCTGTTTTGTTTGATTATTGCTATCATCTTGTTTTCTCTCATCTTGCTTAACTGTGGAAGTTGATGTGACACCGTTTGCCTGCTATTGTATTCCAAGGTATCAAGTGCACTGGGATTTTGCTGGCATTTGTCCCTGCCTGCTTGAGACTTGCCTGGCCCTAGTGAGATGCATGGTGGTATAGGGAGATCATTCGGTAGCTTGATGGTGATAGAAAGTGTGCAGAGCTTTCCCTGGTCTTGTCTGTCCAGCCAGTGTCAGTCTGTCTGTCCTGCTGTCTGCGGGTTGAGCATGAGTGGGCTGGGGAGACAGCCACCTTCTCACCACGCTTGCTTCTTGTTGGACTGTGGGGAACACGTAGGTAGTGGAGATGGGACTTCACACGGCAAGACCCACTCCTAGGGCAGTGGTTAACGTTGAGCGTAGCATGCAGGGCCACATGGTCTTGAGAGGAACAGCCCTCCATGCAGGTGATGAAGGTGCGTTGTTGGGGACAAAGCCCAAGGGTTGCTTCCATGACTCTGCCTTTCAAGGAAGGAATTGAATCTGCTGTTTTGGGTTCCCCCTTTGCTCCTTTTTGAGTCATCACTGTTGTGAGCTTCCTCTGGTGGGAAGGCTGGAGCCTGAGCAGGTTCCGCTGAAGTCAGCAGGCCTGCCTCACTGGCCGCTTGATAGTTGCCTTTGAGGGCCGCACTCGAAGACTAAGTAGGTCATGGATATCTATTTTGAACTGAAGAGAGGCCGGGCTGCATGGATGTTGACTTTCCGGATCAGATCCTGCTGGCAGCAAGTGCTGTCTGTCAATGCCAGGGTGTATTTATAAAGAGTTGCATCCAGAGATAACAAGACACTCGTGCTGTGGCCCTGTAGGCGAGCAGTGTGGAGAGGCCCCAGGGCCCAGTAGGAAGCTGGGCAGTGGCGTTTGTACACCTGCTTTCTTGCCTCTTCTAAGAATCATTGATCCCAGTGTGCTGAGGAGCTCCAGGAATGGGGAGTGTGGTGGCTGCTCCCTGGCTGGGCCTGGTCTCCCTGTCAGGGCTGAGTGCTGGCTGCGAGTGCAGGGGAACTGGGTTGAACTGCAGTAGGCTGTTGGCACCCAGGTATGCCTGGACTACAGAACTCTGAAGAGTTGTCGCTCTCTCTGTCGAACTTTCCCCAAGTCGCTGTTTTTAACTAGGTGGTCCATATGCAAGACCCTGGGGAAGCCCAAGAAGGTGGTGCGCTGTGGCAGGCATTGAGTGGTGATGGTGACGGATCAACCACCTCCGTGTGCACAGCCTCTTGGCCTCTTTTCTGTATCCAGTGGTCTACATTTTTGAGAAATAAACAGAAGTTTGTGGTAGGATGTGTTCTTTGTTGTTGTTAAAGATTGACTTAGTCATTTGACCAGCAGAATGACAGAGAGGGCAAGACAAAAGATATGTTTCCATCCTCTGGTTCACTTCCCAGATGGCCCAACAGCCAGAGCATGGGACTGCGTTCAGATCTCCCATGTGGGTGGCAGGGATCTGAGCATTTGGGCAATCTTTCTTCTGCTTTCCCAGCCCAGTAGCAGGGAGCTGCGTTGGAAGAGCAGCAGCAGGGACTGAAACTGGTGTTCTTAACCTGTACCTTATTTTTCTCTGCAGTTTTTCCCTGTAAGCTACTTGAAGCATCCTGGCAGTAGTGTTGCTCTTTAAGGTCGTTTGGATTTGGTGTCTGCAGGCTCTTTGCCCAGGAGCCCTCTTGTCCAGGACTCCCGTTTTATGAACAGGGGTTCTTACAGGAAGTTGTCGCCTCACACATGCAGGTGCTTACTTTCTTCTGTGCCACGGCTTCCCCCGGAAGCTCCCTAACAAACCTCTGAGGAGGTGTTTTGGATCAGCCTTACTCTGAAATGGAATGAAATAACTGTCTGTTCAAATGCTGCCTGGGCTTGCTGGGCACACGCGGTTTCTTCTTAGTTAAGAGGGCTGATAGGCTGGGCTCTCTAGCTTCTCCCAGCCATTCTGTGGCATCTTGAGCCTAGGGTGCTCTAACTTTTCATGATCCAGAGCTCGGTTGATGGGTTGTTAGCTCTAGGCATTATTCTCAGTCTGTGTGATGCAAGGTCTGCTGGATCCCAGGGCCACGGCGACCAGAGAGGGAGGTTGAACAGCCCGTCTTCAAATGGAGTTGTTCCAGTATTGCTCCTTTCATTTTGCTTTATGCCTGGGCTTGTTGGTGTTTGCTTTTTCTGCAGGGAACCAAAGCTCCAAGGAAGGCCACGTTAACTAGAGATGGCTAGGTCAGAACAGGACTTTAAAAACAGGGATTCTCAGGGTGCACTTCAAGCACACGTACCTACTCGGATTATGCAATTGAGCTGTCCAGTAAGGCCTCCTGGGTTCTTGCCATCAGAAGACCTACTGAGTGTGCAGTGGATTCAGTCTTAACGCCTTTGACCCCCTAAAAAGATTTTTTTTTTCCTCCCTGCTTTTTCTGTACTTCCCTTTCTCCCTCTTTGGTTTTTATGAGTCTGAGTCTAGGCCGGAAAAGCCAACCTAGTGG